GTCGAGACTCGGAATCGTCTGTAGACGACTTAGGTACCTGGCGGGGTCAGGGAGGAGCGAACATGGGGCAAACAGGAAACAAACCAACGAGGAAAGGCAGAGAGGGCAGACAGCATGCGGTTGGGGACAACGGAGACGGGAGCCGCCAAAAATCCAATAGGAGGGGCGGCCGGAGCCGACAAGAATCCAATAGGAGGGGCGTTCAGGCGTTCAGGCAACCAAACCACAGCAAGGAAGGCGGACAAGGAAGCGGAAGAGATGAAACACGGAGGCAATGCGATAAGTGGGAAACAAAACAGGAACTCAAGACAAATGTGGAAGCAAAACCCGGAGAAGACGTAAGTAAAACTCGGAGAAGGATTGGCAACGGAAACCCACAAACCTGCGACAGAGGAAGGCGTGCAGGAAAACAGGGAAAGAAACTACAGGAAATGACACATGTGGCAGGCAGCTTATTGCCAAGACAAGAAATCCTAAGCAACAAAAGCAGCATTTCAAATTTCAAATTTCAAATTCCATAATTGCGTCAGCTCATAAATTGCAAAAGTCACGAATCCTTTGCAAATTTCCAATCCCTAATGTGCAAAATTCCCAATTTCCAAACCCAAACCCAAATTTTAAGATTTAATTTAAAATTTAAAATTTAAAGTTTAAACTAAACTCTCAAGCCCCCAAGCCAGAAATTCCCAGAGAACTTATCTAAAGTTTAAATGCTACATTATGGGGGGGCGACCTCAAATGTAGCCCCTAAATACTAAGTTCACAAATCTGCGACATGCAATCTAAGGTACTCACACTCATGCTCAACCTCACAAATTATTCATAAATTATTCACAAATTGTTCATAAATTAGTTAATTAATAAATTTAATTAAATCTAACTAGATTTAGATGACACAATAAACTAAACTAGACTAAACTAAACTAAACTAAATTAAATCAAAGGGGACTAATTAAATTAACCCAATTAACTCAAAGTAACTCAAATAAATTCGCTAAGGACATTAAATCCAACCAAGACGTCATTAGGCTCAATAAAGCACAACCTCCTATAGACTATAAACTACATAGGACCGCAATAGCACCCGTAGCGAGTCAGCAAGCCCGGCATTCGTAGCCTAAACAATAACCCTAGCAAATCAAGCAAATAAGACATGACATAATAAGACACAAGGGAAATGCAAGACGCAAGTATACGTATGTGTATGTGTATGTATATGTATATGTGTGTATGTGTATACATGTACAGATGTATATATAGGTATATATACGCATATACCCTCATATTCTTCTTCTTTTATATATTCTATATATTTTTATATTTATATTTATATTTATACTGCAGGACTAAAATACTACTATCATATGAGTATATCACTACACTATGCTATGGCATTATTGCATAGCGTGGTAGGGTATCAAAATGTGACGCGGTACCGCCATTAATCTAGATAGCCTTTCCGACTGGAAACGGCGAAAGGAAATGCAGAAGCAGGAAAGGTAGGAAAAGCAGAGCAAAGAAAGAAAGATAGGATAAGGTAAAGGTGAGAGGAAGATGAAGCAAAGGGAGGGAGAGGAGTGGGAAGGACTAGGCAAGGCTACAAGGAAAGGTAAAAAAGGCACAGGGACAGTCGAGGATAAGTAGAGACGGTGGTAGGAAGTGCGGAAGCGATAGTGCAAGTGAAAGTAGTGAGTATAAGAGAACATAGTGAGCAAAAGGTTAAGTGGAAATAGCAGGAAATTAAACAGAGGAAGGTAAGTGCAGTGCAAAACTACTAAAATATTAACAGTTAAACTATACTAAATTAACGCATAAGGCAAGGCGGCGATAGGACAAGTAAGCAGTGAATAGGCAAATAGCTAGAGTAGTGTAGAATCTATTAAAAGGACGGATGAAGCAAATTAGGACTTAAAATCAAACCCGCGAAAATCAAATGTCAAATTCCACTGGGGATTTAATTGAGAGTAGGAGCATCTACACGCCATAAGCACGAACACAGAAGCTTAGGGAAATTTATAAGTTTATAAACTCATCAATATATTAAATATTAAACTTAAAGTGTATATAACGTGTACAAGCTAGTACATAGTTGTAAATTAAACCTATAGAACCTATCAAAAGGCAAGTCCATAAAGTTTATACACCTTATGCAATTAATATTCAGACTTAAGCCTGTGACTAGGGCTGCACTTGCACTTATGCGCGGTTTAGCCTAGTTTTTTCCTCTTCCTCTTCTTTCATCAATCTAGCTCATCAATCTAGCTTATCTAACCTAGTCTCTTCGGGTAAGTTTTACCAAATTTAAATCGTGGTCTGATTGGATTGATGAAGTTAAATTTAGTTAATTTAATCAATTAATGGAATCAACTAAAACACTTCACACATATTTGCTAGCCCTCTTTCCCTCATCTCTTTTTTCCTCCCGGCTGACGTTACTACTCCGTCTGGCCCTTCTACCCTCCCCCCCCCTCCTCTTTTTCTCTACCATGACATGATAGCATTTGTATTCGCGCGTTATACACCCTCTGGCTCTTCTCCTCTTTTTACAGCAGAAATGGAAATGTTTGCGAAAATCAAAGGATCCAAAACGCCGGGAAGAGACGTAGCCGAGATGATGGAGAGGATTCGCGAGCAGATCAACGGGAAACTCGAGGTCAGCGAGCGGGCTCGAAAGGAGAGGGAAGATAACGAGGCGAAGCAAAAGGGAGCCAAAGGGAAGGGGAAAAAGAGGGCAAGGCAGGAGGAACAGGATAAAGGGAACAAAGGAAAGACGAAGGAGCGAAAGATATGGGGAGGTGAAGACGACGATGACCTGCTAAACCAGACGCTAATGGAGGCGGCAGAAGCGGTGGAAGATGCTGAGGCGTCTATGAGTGAGCTGGACCAGGTTTTCAGGTGGGAAGAAAATGGCTCACAGGATCTGCCACACCCAAGCGGTTGCTCCACGCCGACGCCAAGGGACGAAGCCATCAAGGAAGCTGGAGGAAGGAGGAGCAACAAAGGCGGGGACAAGATGGAAAGCGCGGCAAGCCAAGGAAGCTGAAGGAAGGAGGAGCAATAAAGGCGGGGATAAGATGGAAAGTACGGCAAGGGATAGGAAAAGGAGCAGCACTCTGATGGCGACGGAAGAGGAGAAATACGGACGCAAACAAGAACTTGGAAAAGTTAAAATAAGGCAAGTCGAGACACTACAGCCGGTGGTCAAGGTCACGCGACTACAAATTAAAGAGGCAAAGGACAACAAGGGGGAGACTGTAGACAAGGGGGAACAGGAGAAAGGAACGGGAGCAAAGCAGGAGGAGGAACAGAGGCTCATACGCTTGATTAAAGAAATGAGGGCAAATTTCGAAAAAGATAAGGAGATTAAAAACAAACGGAGAGAGGAGAAACAGGGGGACAATGGGGAGAAGGGAAATCGAGGCGAAAATAGGGAAACTAGGGAAGGGAAGAAGCAGAGGAAAGAAGGAACGGGATGGGAAGAAGGAAAGGGGGACAAGAAGGGAAGGAAAGGGGGGAACAGGGGGGAAGAGGTCATTTTGATTAAATACCCTAAAGAAGAGATAGGATATTGGGGAGCGGTGAAGTGGCTGAAGACGGTAGTAGGGGAATTTGCAGGGAATTTTCAAGAAATAAGGGACACGAGGAAAGGGGATATCCTCATAGCAGTAAAGAACGGTAAGGGGGGAGAGAGTAGCAGGGAATGCTCCAGGAAAATAAATAGGGAAGGCGAGGGTAGGTGGAGGAAGGCGAGGGTAGGTGGCATGCGCGGGTACACTCGGACACAGTTGAAATCGCGATTAAAATATCAGACCCGGATCTGGAGAAAGAAGAACTGCTAAGAGCCTATGGGGAGAGCAGATTAGGAAATTTTGTCGAAAATGGGGACATTAGAGTCAGGTGTATAAAGGGACCGGAGGGCACGTGCCACAGGACCGCATACTTGGATTGCACTAGGGAAGCGGCCAAGGAGATGGTGCAGGAAAAAGAAATACGCACCAAGTGGCAGGAGCTAAGGCCCTATTTTCCGAGGAGGAAACCCGAAGGTGAAGATAGGAGAACGAAGAAGGGCGGAAAAGACGACGCGGGGGCCAGGATGGAAGCGGGAAAAGAGGATAAGGAGGTGGCGGAAATGGAGCGATGGGCTAAGCCAGGCACGAGTAAAGAGCCATGGTAGGAGGAGAAACCGATGCACAGCGCGCAGCAGGACATATCAAACAGCGGCGGAAAAATTAGAAATAATATCATATAATCACACACTTGTATACCTACATATGTTAGTTTTATTTTATTCTCATAGTTTTTACTTATATTCATACCTATTTATATAACAACATTTATCTATATCTATTTATATAACTGTATATTTGCACATGTATTCACTATTCTTACTTATATTTATACTTATATTCTTATTTATATATACTCACATACTTGTACATCCACAAAATTTTATTCTCACACTCTTATTTATACTCATACCTACTTATATAACATTATATATCTATTTATATAGCTGTAAATCTACACATTTATTCATGTATTCTTACTTATATTTATATCTATATTCGAATTTATATTCACATATTTTATGTAACATGACACATGTAGCTCAATGAACATGATAACAAGACGTATATCCGACAGCACAGGGATACATATACGGCCATAGTTACCCGCATTACACGCATATATTACTTATCCACTATCTACTACCTAATACTTACCTACTATCCACCTGCACTTACCTGTTCATATTTTTAGCTAAACATTCAACACTTATAGGTAAACGCATCCATTTTCACAAGGAACACTAATGTACAAACGTACAAACATGCAAGCGCAACGATGTATATTCATAGAATTGGGCACCTATCTTATTCTTAATTTACTTTGGATTGTCTGTGTCGCGCTTCAACTCTAAAATTCAAAAATTTTCAAAATTTTCGAATGTTTTCAAAATTTTCGAATGTTTTCACTATCTTTCTACTAGTATACCCTTTTACATAAATCTTCTCAATCTTTCCATATTCCACTTTTGCTTTACCTTCATTTGCAGCCCTGTGTTTGCACTCGTATTTTCACTTTTTCTGCATTTTCACTTCAACACGCAACCATACATTCAATACATTCAAACTTAAACTAAGGAACGCAACCTCAATTAAATCACAGTTAGGATGTGGCGCATTAGCTAAGCAAACTAAACAAATTCAGAAACAGTATGCGCAAACTAGGGAGAAAAAGGCCCACGCATGGGCGGGATGGGGGGAAAAATCAAAATCGAAAATCAAGGCAAATCTAAATCTAAATCTAACAAGCTAGTAAATAACAGAAATGATATATCAAACAAGAAAGAAATCTAACTTAAATCAAGCTCAAACATGAACTCAACGAACTCAACTTAACCTAAACTTAAAAACTAAGATTTAAACCTGATTTTAAGCTAAATGTTACATGACAGAGGGGTAACCAAAAGGTAGGCCCACCTAGGGAGAATAAAACGGGACCCTTAAACCAATAAAACTCGCAATTCAAGCATAAAACACAACAAAACGCAAAACACAAACAATTAAACGATAAAACAACCAATTAGGAACTAAGTCAGTTTTAACAAGCTCAATCTAACAAGTTTAATATAGTATAGTAAATTATCATAGTCTAACAAGCATAGTATATAAGTTAATTATTATTATTATCATTATAATAAATTAAACCAACTTAAACCCGGTAAAGGAAGCAGCGTAAACAGAGGCCGGAGGAAGCGCGAGAAGAGGAAAGTAGTTTGGTTTAGCTAGGGAATGAGAAGTGAATGGAATACGCGAGCACGTTTTTAGCATGGGTGCGCAAAGGTTGCAACAACAATAAGACAGTGCATGGAAAGGAAATGGGGATTGACGGTCATGAACCAGGAAGTGGAGTAACGATTACATAGAAAATTGCAGAAAACAGGCATCCCTCCAACCTAGAAGCCAAACAGCGACGAGCGAGAGATGATGCGAGCGGCGAGACAGGGTGAGCAGTAGGTTCGGATCCCAACTCCGAAAGAAGAGGTAACGGGTAGCAGCTAAGCTGGAACAAACAGATAAAGTTAGAGTCGGTAAGCTGGCCAGATTGGACGTAAATGGAACAAACGGTGTAACAAACAAGTAAGTGAAAAGATTACTTAACTTAACCTAAACATGAGGCGATCAAGGCGCAGGATGCCGGTACAGCAAGGAAAGCTGAAAAAGGTAAAATTAAAACCTGGGTTAGTACACTAAACGGACAGATATAGCACTGAATAATACGGGGTAAGCAAGAAATAAAATAAAATAATTTATACTGGCCTGTAATTGCGATGCGGAAGGTGAAGCACGGATGACGAATAAGCACGGCAAAGAGCTAAACTAAGCAAACAACCGCATCCAGCCAAACAAACAAACAACGGGCTCAAAGGAGGCAGGACAACAAAATGCACACGAGGAAAATCAACAGGGAAGCAACGAAGCCTGAAACGACTAGAGGAAAGACAGACAACGTACGAAAAAAGACCAACACATCAGCACACGTGCGACAGACACGTGCGACAGTCACACACGGACGGAAGGACAGGCAAAGGAGAACGCAAACCAATGGGCAACAACTAATGGGCAAGGACAACGCTAACGGGAAGGAACACCCTCCAAGGTGCGTTCCACTTCCTCCTTCATCATCATGACAAGTTTAACAAAGCGAAGAACAGCGCTACGGTGGATTGTTTCACCAAGTAGTACAGACACGAAGTTTAGGGGAGTAAGAGGGCCGGTAACAGCATACAAAGCTGAACGCTCCGGCTCCCAGCACGAGCAGGAAAAAAGGGTATGATAAGCGTCATCCTCAATCCCGGACTGGCAAAACCAGCAGGCGGGAGACGAAATACGATTGATACGATGAAGATAACTGGCAAAACAGCCATGGCCTGTCAAAACCTGAGTAAGATGAAATGATAAAAGACGAGGACCACCGGACATGATCCAGAAACCTAAATCTGGGATAAGGCGACGAGTCCAATCACCATTGGAACAAGTGCTCCAGGAAGACTGCCAATCGCGGAGAGCGAGGAGATCGACAGTGCGAGGAACATCTAAACTATCAGCGAAAGGATCGACGTGGAAATAGGCAGTGCGAAGATGAATAAGAAACTCCCAAGGAGTACAACCGGACAGGACACACAGAACTGAGGTGGAAACGGTGCGATAGGCGCGACAAATTCGGAGGAGGCCAACGCGCTGAGTTGAATGCAGGCGAGATAGGACGCGGGTGAAGGCGACAGCCTCAAACCAAACAGGAGCAGCATAAAGGACTATAGATTCAACAACGCGGTACTCAAACCAAACAGGAGCAGCATAAAGGACTATAGATTCTACAACGCGGTAATACAGGATACGACCAGTGTAACCACAGCCGCGTAAGTTAGGAAGGAGACAAGATAAGCGTTTTGCGACGGCCAAGGCCTTGGTGCAAACTTTATCAACGTGCTGGGGGTAAAGGCGGCTGTTCCCGAAGAGAACACCGAGATAACGTACATAGGGAGAAGTTTGAATAGTATGTGAGCCGTGAATCAAGGATATTCCACGAGGAACACGGCGACCGGTAAGAAGAATCGCCTCGGTCTTATGGGTGGCTAAAACTAGGCCCTGAGAGGTGTACCAGCTACCCAAAATGCGCAGACCCTGAGAGGTGTACCAGCTATCCAAAATGCGTAGACACTCCTCGGCAAGGAAGCGCAGGCGGGACAAGGAACGGGCAACAATTACGAGAGCCATGTCGTCGGCAAAACCGACAGTAATGGCGCCACCCGGAAGAATAAGATCCAATACACCATCATACGCTAAAATCCACAAGAGAGGGCCAAGAACGGAGCCCTGGGGAGGAGTGGGCCAAGAACGGAGCCCTGGGGGACACCAGCAAAAACTGGTACTTCAATCCAACTACCGTCAGAAAGAAAAGTTCCAACCTGACGATTAGACAAATAGCTAGCAAGAATACGAACCAGAGAAGAGGGAAAACCTCGGGATACTGCAGCACGGAGTATATTTTCCCATTTTAGGGTATTAAATGCATTTTTTACGTCTAAAGTCACAAGAAGACAGTGACAATTGGAAAAACGAGCACGATCCCACTCAGAGGTCACCACGCGCATCGCCTGCATGGTGGAACGGCCTGACAGAAAACCAAATTGACGGGGAGAAAAACCGCCTGAAACACGAACTGCTTCTAGAAGACGTTCTCGGATACAATACTCGAAACCCTTACTCAAGTGGGGCAACATGCACAAAGGACGCAAGTCACCAAAAGTGTTAAATGGCTTATTAGCCTTAGAAATCAGTACCAAACGGCCACTTTTCCAAGCAGAGGGAAAATAACCGTGGGAGTAGCATGAATTGAAGAGCTTTGTTAACCAGCTGAGGGCAACCCTACCAACAACGCGTATGACTTCGCCGGACATGCCATCGGGTCCAGGAGCTTTTTTAGGACCAATACGAGCGAGAGAATAGGCCACGGTGAGAGGGCAAATAGGTATATCAGAACCATCAGGACTCACGAATGAATTGTGATGCAAGGAGGGAGACAAAGTAGGCGAGGAAACAGACTGAACTGAAGAAGAAACGGAGAGAGAGGAAGCAGACATTGAAGGAGAAGAATCCGGCACGCAAACAAATAAAGCTTGCATCGCCAACCGAAATTCCTCGCGATTGAGGGACACGGGAGGTTGATTACCTCGCAACTTCTTCATCATAGACTTGTACGGGCGACCCCACACATCGGAGCGAACCTCGCCTACCATCTCTTGGAAACATTCGTTTTTACGACGACGCAAGAGAGAGCGGAAGGTGCGACGAGCCAGAAGATATGCAGGAAGGGCAAGTTCGGAGGCGAGCGCAGAATCGCGAGAAAGAGTATAGCGATAAAGATCACTCGCCTTTCGGGTTTCACGGCGCAGGATGGACAATTCCTCATTCCACCAAGGAGCGTCGCGACGCTTCTTACGGCGCAAAGGGAGTGAGGGGCAGAGTCAAAAAGAGACTGGAGACAAGATAGCTCGGAGTCAATCTCAGCCGGGGAAAAGAATTGCGACGAGTCAGAAAAATCGCGGGTGCAAAAGGTCGATGAAGATAGAGTTTCGAACCATATATCGAGGTCAACAGGAGTTGTACGGGGTAACCAGGGAAAATCTGAGGGAGAAGAAGAGGAAGATGAGCCAGGCATATCATGAGCAAGGGAGGAAAGCGAGAAATTATGCAGCAGGAAAGAGTGATCAGAGCCGGTAAAATCTGGAAGAACATCAGATCGAACTACGCGAGATAACAAAGGTAAGGAACAAACAGCAAAATCTATTCTAGAAGAATAGGCACCACGGTGAAACGAGGGACCACCATCGCTACGGATGGGACCAACACCTAACTCAGAGAAAAGTAGCTCGAGAAGGCGACCGCGGGAATCCAAGGACTCGGAGCCCCAAGTGGGAGAACGGGCATTAAAATCACCACAAAGTATGAAGGGTCTGGGAGAGCGAAGAATATAGGAGGACAAGGCGGCTAAAATATGGTCAAGAGCAGAGGAGGAGAGATTCGGAGAAAGATAACACGATCCTATGCAAAAATCACGAGTTTCCACCAAGACAAAACCATCCCCGCGGCCAGAACAATGAACGACACCAAAATCGGAAGAGGAATAGGGACGGAACCATATAGCGCATCGGGAATCTAAACTCACGTGCCACTCACTCCGGATTTCATACGGTTCACAGATGCAAACGAAATCCGCACAACGCTCGCCCGCGGTCTGCCAAAGGAGATCCTGAGCGAGACGGCAATTGTTGAGGTTCAATTGGAGAACAGACACGGGAGAAGACATACTGCAGGAGAAGTATACCTATAAAAAAACCAAAGTTAGTTAAAAGAGCAACATAAATGACGCACGAAGGTAGGAAAATACAATCTAGGTTAGGAAATTGACAGGTTAGGAAAATAACAGGTGAAACACTTACCAATGTAATGGGAAAACGAGCAAACCGAGATGATCGCACACACGATGAGTAAACAGCAAGGCAGCAAACTATAGAAATGGCAGCTGGGCAGAAAGACAGGAAAATAGGCAGTACCTGAGGCGCGCAGCAAAAGGGGTTGAGACAAAGCTAGCAAAGCGAGTCACAGCAGAAGTAAGTAACCTAGAACAAAAATCAGAATTAAAAACAGAATTAAAATCAGAGCAAAGCACGGCAAGGGAAGCAACATGCAAGAGCAGAGGACTGGGAGGGATAAAAGGACAGAAGGAAGCAGACAGGAAAGCAGAGTAAGTAATGTAGGAGTTAGAACAGAAAGAACACCAGTCAAATTAACAGGGGAGCTGCGTGAGTGGCGGCAAACTGAGAAAACAAAACAGGTGAGGACACAAGATAAGACAAAAGGGGAAATAAGGTTAAGGCACAAGTATATGCACAGGCACAGTAACCAGCATAAGGCGAAATGGAACAAAACAATGCCAAATAAACAGTCTGCAATGATGGGTCGGCATAGGATAGGGATTTTAACCTACTAAGTTAACCTATCCTCCACTAAATATCACAGTAAAATTTAAAATTGAACTAAACTAAACTTTTAAATATAAATTTTAACTTTACTCACCCACGGTAAGAGTCACAGGGAAATCGAAAGCAGAAGTGAATACAAGGGAAAAGGAAGGTGGCAAGGATCGCAGGTACGCAGGCAGATTCAGAAATTAAACAGCAGCAGAACAATTCGCAACAAAAGCGAAATCCAGCAGGGCAGGATCAGGCTAGAGGAAAGATAAGCAGATTTAAACACAGACCAAATACAAATGCAGCATCAACGCTAAGAAACTAAAACACAGGATAAAGGAAACTCAGAAAAATTAAGTATAAATACCTATAGAAACAACGAAGAAAAGAGGAATGCAGCAGCAACAAAACCGGAAACAGATCGCCAACAAACTAGAAAATTAAAGTGTACAAATTAATCAAAATCAACCAGGCAAAGGGGCGATCAATTAAAAGGCAGGATAAACAAGATACAAACAATAAATTAGACAGATAAATTAAGGCACTCACCAACGAGCGATCGCGGAAGACGAACAAAATGGCGAAAAACGGCAATGCACTTGTTGATGGGTAGAAAATGGTTCAACCCTGACACAGGACACAGGTAGAAAGAAATTAGGCGCAGTCGAAAGGGAAAGTGGAGTGGCAAGCAGGGAGAGAGAGAAGGGAAACTCACCGCCAACAGTGACAACGTGAATACAGTAGGGAACACGACAACGTGAATACAGTAGGGAACGGCAAGCGACACCAAGCGGCGGCGTACGGAAGTAGACTCGGGCAAACACAGCGGTCGAACATTCCGAAATTTTTCGAAACTTCGGATTTCCGGATCTCGCGTGGACTTGCGGATTCTCACTGCAACGGGCACTGAAGTACATAAAGAGGAAATCTTTGCCCTGAACGCAGAAATTCAACATGATCCAAATAAACCTCAAATAAATTTTAATAAAATTTTAAAATTTAATAAATTTTAATAAATGAAAATTTAATAAATTTAAGGTGACCGCGCGATTACGCGGGATTGCGGATGCTGCGATCTCGTGACATCTCGCGACCTCGCGAACCGCGAGATCCCGCGGTTTCCCGAATTTTCCGAATTCGTCAAAATTTTTTGGATTTTTGGATCTCGCGCAACGGGCACTGAAGTACGTAAAGAGGAAACCTTTGTCCTGAGCGCAGAAATTCAACATGATCCAAATAAGCTTCAAATAAATTTTAATTAAATTTTAAAATTTAATTTAATAAATTTTAATAAATGGAAATTTAATAAATTTAATGTGATCGCGCGATTACGCGGGATTGCGGATGCTGCGATCTCGTGACATCTCGCGACCTCGCGAACCGCGCGATCCCGCGGCTTTCCGAATTTTCCGAATTTTCGGATTTTCGGATCTCGCGCGGACCTGCGGTTTCCACTGCAACGGGCACTGAAGTGCAGAAAGAGAAAATCTCTGCCCTGAGCGCGGAAATTTAACCTGATCCGAATAAACTTTAAATAAATTTTAAATCAATTTTAAAATTAATAAACTTTAATAAATGGAAATTTAATAAATTTAAGGTGATCGCGCGATTACGCGGGATTGCGGATGCTGCGATCTCGTAGCATCTCGCGACCTCGCGAACCGCGAGATCCCGCGGTTTCCCGAATTTTCCGAATTCGTCAAAATTTTTTGGATTTTTGGATCTCGCGCAACGGGCACTGAAGTACGTAAAGAGGAAACCTTTGTCCTGAGCGCAGAAATTCAACATGATCCAAATAAGCTTCAAATAAATTTTAATTAAATTTTAAAATTTAATTTAATAAATTTTAATAAATGGAAATTTAATAAATTTAATGTGGTCGCGCGATTACGCCGGAGTACGGATGCCGCGGTCTCGTGACATCTCGC